GCAAAACAACATGCTCCTCTTATATTTAGGTAGGTGATACAGAAAATACATAATAAGCATATAATGAAATGACAGATAATGATTAAATGCTTGAGAAATTATGCAACATTGAGGATGGAATTTAAAAAGCATGGTTAAATTATAGACCAGGGCTTTGAACCAGTTCACACTGGTTCAGTAGTGGTTGACAAAGCAATACTGGAATAGACTTGATTTTTTTTTAATTTTGGTAATCCGGGACAGAAGCCAGAATGTGGAAAATTGTGGATTGAAGCCTTGGAATGGGAAACAGAAGAGGCGTAGTGAGCCTTTTCAGGAGCCTGAGGCATGACATTGGATTATTGCCAGCACTATGGGGAATGATACACCTTCAAAGTGGTGCAACAGCTACCATCTTTGAGCCAGGCACCAATGTTTTTCACATAGCCAGTCAAGAGATTTGGGTGCTAGCAACACACATATTCCTCTTGTTTTTTAAGAGGGAGGTTAAGTTTCTAGCAGGGCTTTGACCTATAATTTTTCTTGTTTGGGTTAACATGCCAGTTCACCTACATTTTAAAAATTCTTGCCCATTCTGATGTTGCTTCGTCAGACAAGACTGAACCAGGCTGAGCCAGTTGGAAGCCCTCGTACAGACAACAACTGAAGAAGGCCTCTGAGTGAGCTTTTCCAGAATTCTGAATAGAGTATCACACTAAGGCACATGAACATGAGGACAGAAGGTGGAAGCATTCCAGGCCTTGATATGCACCCACTTGACATAATCAAGTATCACAGCCCAGCTAGAGTACAGGAAGTATGATGAAGAAAGGTGGAAAACAAGGACAGGGAGAAAGCTGTAGTAAGGGATTTGGGCTTTATTTTATGTGGGTCTTAAAGATTGAGAGCAAATGCATGACATGATCATATTTTTTAAAAAATATTAATCTAGCTGCTATGTGGGTGTTAGTCTTTAAACATATGAAAATGGAAGTAGGTAGACAATTTAGGATTTTATGGTAGTCCAGGGGATAATTTCATGGTGAAATTGGTAGCTTAAGGGGATAGTAAAAACCAGCAGATCCTGAATATGCTTTGCATGTGAGGTCTAGAGGATTTGTTGATGGTTTGTATATGAGCTACTAAGAGAAGTGGAAAGGATAGGGGCTGAAGTTAGGGCCTGAGCAACTTAGTAAATGAGTTCTAGCTATTTGAGATGAAGAAGTAGGAAGTCACAAGTTTGGGGTGAGAGAAAAATCAAAAGTTCACTCTTGGGCAAGTTATGCTTAAATTACCTATAAATATCGAATGGAGATATTGAGTAAGAAGTTGGGTAGACAAACCAGGATACAGAAGTGATGTCAAGTCTAGGGCATCTTTTGTAGATGATATTGAAGTTAAGGGCAGTGGTGTCACTAGCATTAGTGTCACCCAGTATGGTAACTAATGGTGTCACCACACCCCATAGACCTCCTCCCATTCCACACCTCACAGAATCCTTAGTAATGTTTGTTATCAATTTTAATCATAGAATACTATATGTTAAATATAGCTGTAAACTGATTAAATGCAGTATTTCTTAGATTATATGAATACTAATAACAAAATTGTTTTGTAAAATCTTTCTACATTGAATTACAATATTCTAGTAACTGAGTAGATATTTTTTTCTCCTCCTTTTCCCTTAATTACTACTTCTTTCTAAAAAAATTGTATATATATATATATAGCTGTATGTTCACAAATACTAATTACAACACTGTTATAGCAAGAACCCACTGCCATCGAATCAATTCCTACTCATAACAACTTCATAGGACAGAACAGAACCGCCCCACAGTGTTTCTAAGGCTGTAAATCTTTATGGAAGCAGACTACCTCATTTTTCTCCCATGGAGCAGCTGGTAGTTCAAACTGCTGACTTTTGAACCAATGCTTTAACCACAGCATCACCACAGTGCTTTATTATAGCTAAAGCACCAGAAAATCTGACAAACTCAGCAACTATAAAAACACTAGCAGCAAAGAAAACCAGAACATGTGCTTGTAGCACGTTTAGATGCACCCAGTGACTTGAAGCATCATTGTAATTTAGTGATCATGACAGCTCTGACTAGAGCTCATTAGAAAGCTCAAAAAGTAAATTAGCATAGACTTTCAGTCTTGCAAATATATTGCTACTTGTAAGCTGAGCTTATGAATAATGTTTTTGTTGTTATAACTAACTACAGGGATTTTTTTATTTAAAAAATAATGAATTTCTGATGCACAATTCACTGCACAATATTTTTTCCATTCAACAGCTTTTTTTTAGAATCTGCACTGTGCCAGACACTGGTCTATGCACTTGTTGTTGTTATGTGCCGTGGAGTCGGACCCAACTCATAGCGACCCCTCCTTGGGTTTCCGAGGCAGTATCACTACGGAAGTAGATTGCCCCATCATCCTTCCGAGAAGTGGCTGGTGGGTTTGAACCGCCAGCCTTCTGGTTAGCAGTCAAGTGCCTTAGGCACTATGCTACCAGAGGTCTATGCACTAGAGATACAAAAGTAAACCACAAAGAGGCCTTGCTGTCAGGGAGCTCCCATTGTAGTAGGAAACAGGTCATAATGAGCATGTAACTGTAACCAGCATGTAAATGCTCAGAGGGAAGTGCTAGCAGAAATGGCCAGCTTGTTAAGTAAGGGGCATAGAGACATTTGGGCGTGAGGGTGGTCATGAGGGCCCTGTGGCCAGGTATACCTAGACAGAAGCCCATTCTCCCAGAGTTCAGTCAGGCCACAGATCTCCTGCATGGCAACTCTGGATGAGCCAAGAGTGCGTCATTATCTATTCCATTTTTAATAGCATTTGGTTCAAATTGATCTGGAGCTTTGAATACAATTAATTCACTAATCGAAGTGTCTCAAAGCCAGATATGGGTTTGGCAGCATGGTAAAGATTTCCCTATGAATTCTGCCAGCTTTCATTCCAATGTGTCAGCCTTCAGGAGTCCAGCTCTACAGATCACTCTCCTTGCTGCACCCTTAAACATGTGTGTGGTCAGAGCCAAGGTTATACAGGTCAGGGGATAAAAGTGAAGCATCACACACATTATTAAAAAGAAATCCAAAAGGATGGCTGCATCATGATCCCTCATTAGCGTTCCAGCTGTGACTCTCTTTTGGTAAACTTGAACATTTCAGCAGACATTCAAGCAGCTTTTTCAGTAAAAAATTTTTACATGAGTACTACTGCTGACTACTATTGCATGATCATCTTCCAAGTTGTTTTAGGCAGTCATTTCCTCGCCACGCACCACATCCTCCTCTTCCTCCTCAAGACTGGGACCCCAAGCAGGCACCTCCTACCATACCGCCTCCAGCCCAGCCACCCTACCACCCACTGCGCAAAAGTTTTGAGAGACAGTCATTTTGGTGTCACCCCTCTGACAGTGTCACCTGGTGCAGTCAGCAACCCCCTAACCTCCCTAGTGATGTCACTGGTCAAGGCTCTAAATGACAGGTCACTTACACAGAATACAGCTGGAAAAGAGAAAAGATCCAAGGACTGGGTCCCAGAAAAGCATGCATTTATAGGCCAGGTCAACCAGAAGGAACTCAAGCATAGGCCCCTCAGATAAATTACATAAAGAGTAATGAGAACAAGTGAATGCACAGATCTTCAACTAATATAATTCAAATGTCAATGTGTTTTCAGTAATACAATGCTATGGTTGACTCTGCTTTACATGGTACAATGTATATAGGATACCATTGTGAGGAACTTTCCTGGCACCTAATAAAATTCAGCGGAGAACTGAAGCCTGCACAGTTTACTTAGGGTATATTCCAATTAAAGGAGGGTGTGTTAGTTTGTATTCTGTACCTCATTCATTCATGCCAACTTTATTTTTAATTTTCATTGAAAGTAGCACTAAACATAGCTTACTCATTCCTCTTCAGCCGCAAATGTTTAACCACAAAGAAGACCAAGTTAAAAGTAAGAAGATACACTGGAGAATTCTGCATGACATTAAACACTGAAATAAATTAATAATGCATAGTGTGGAATTTCACTCACTGGTATCTTTGAAAATAAGAGACACACAAATGTATAAACTGGCCTTGCTGTAAACAATCACTGACTAAAAGTCATTTTCCTTTTCCTTTGTCTAACATTGTCAGTTCTATAAGGAAAGGAATCCCATCTAAAACTGCACATGATATTATTAAAGATTACAATAGTAAAGAAGCAAATAAACCTTACTTTGAGACTACGAGTTCTTGCAGTATTTTCTTCTCTGTATTTACTCAGAAATTGTACTGTATAATTATTTAAAATTCTATACTTTCTTATATAGATTTGGCCTAGGTTAATTTTTCTGAACTAGATTACAAGCCCCTGAATGACAGGAGAGCATCCACCTTGTTTTATGCAATGCTAGGAGCTCTGGTAGCATAGTGCCTAAGGCACTTGACTCCTAACCAGAATGCTGGTGGTTCAAACCCACCAGCCACTCCTTGGAAGGAAGGTTGGGTAATCTACTTCCGTAGTGATACTGCCTCGGAAACCCAAGGAGCAGTCACTATGAGTCAGGGCTGACTCAATGGCACATAACAATAAGAGACACAAAACAAAGTAAGGTATTTAAAGGACCATGATGGCAATGACTGACAGAATACAGAGGTTGTAATAAGTATCCAAAGGTCCCTGTGTAGCACAGTTTGTACTGGACTATTAACCTAAAGGGTGCACTATGGGAGAAAGTCCTTATGATCTACTTCTGTTAAGATTACAGGCAAGAAAACTCTTTGGAGAAGCTATACTCTTTAACAACAGACAATGGGTAGTAAGTATCCACACCTTACTTCTCTCATAGTCACAATGAGACCAAAAAAAAAAAAGTCAAAAACTTCAAATGATATAAAACTATGCCACTAACTGAGTTTTAAGAAATTCAGAGAACATCTTAATGAGAAAATTTCTCTAGTCATATCCAAAATGTCAATGTCTTGTCATTGCAGTTTTGGAGGAGAAAAATGAAATATCCAGGAGTGAATAACTCTGACCTTGTGAGTGAATTCATTCTTCTTGGATTCCCCTGTACCTCAGAGATGCAGATCTTCCTCTTCTCACTCTTCTCTGTGACCTATGCCCTAACATTGATTGGAAATCTGTGCATTATATGTGCTGTGAGGTGGGACCACCAACTCTACACCCCCATGTACATCCTACTGGCAAATTTCTCCTTCCTAGAGATCTGGTATGTTACTTCCACGGTTCCCAATATGCTAGCAAACTTTCTGTCTGATACCAAAACCATCTCTTTCTCTGGCTGCTTCCTCCAATTCTACTTCTTCTTCTCCATGGGCACCACTGAGACCTTCTTCTTGTCCATCATGTCCTATGATAGGTACCTTGCCATCTGTCAGCCCCTGCACTACCCCTCCATCATGACAACCAGACACTGCATCAGACTGGGAGCCTGCTGCTGGGCATGTGGCTTCTCCTGTTTCCTCCTCCCAGTTTATCTCATCTCCAAGCTTCCTTTTTGTGGCCCCAATACTATTGATCACTTTCTATGTGACCCAGGGCCCCTGATGAAGTTATCCTGTATGCCAGCTCCTGCCACTGAGGTCATCTGTGCTGTCTTTAACTCTGTCCTCATTTTCTCCACTTTCCTCTTCATTACCAGCTCTTACACTCTGGTGATTAGAGCTGTGCTGAGGGTCCCATCAGCAGAAGGCCGGCGTAAGGCCTTCTCCACATGTGGTTCCCACCTGGCTGTGGTGTCCCTATTTTATGGCTCCATCATGGTCATGTATGTGAGCCCAACAGCAGGCAATCCAGCTGGGATCCAGAAAATTGTGACTTTGTTTTATTCTGTATTGACTCCGCTTTTCAACCCATTGATCTACAGTCTCCGGAATAAGGAGATGAAGGAGGCACTGAGGAAACTATTTAGGACATTGAGGTTTGCTCAAAGACAAACTCTCAGGAACTAGAATTCATAACTTATATATGTGTGGGAAATGTATTGTTTATTGTTAAGTGCCATTGAGTCAATTCCAACTCATAGTGACCCTATGTACAACAAAATGAAGCATTACCAGGGCCTATACCATCATCCCAATCACTGTTATGTTTGTGCCCATTGTTTCAGCCACTGTGTCCATCCATCTTGCTAAGTGTTTTCCTCTTCTACACTGACCCCCTATTTTACCAAGCATGATGTTCTTCTCCAGGAACTTGTCCTTCCTGATAACATGTCCAAAGTATGTGAAATGAAGTCTCACGATCCTCACCTCTAAGGAACATTCTGGCTGGACTTCTTCCAAAACAGATTTGTTCTTTCTTCGGTCAGTCCACAGAAACTTTGATATTCTTCACCAACACCAAAATTCAAAGGCATCAGTTCTTCTTTAGTCTTCCTTATTCATTTTCCAGCTTTCACATGCAAATGAGGCAATTAAAAATACCATGGCTTGAGTCAGGCATACCTTAGTCCTCTAACTGACATATTTGCTAGTAATACGTTAAAGAGGTATTTTGTAGCAGATTTGTCCAGTGCAATACATTGTTTGATTTCTTGATTGCTGCTTCCATGGGTGATGATTGTGGATTCAAGCAAAATGAAATTCTTAACAACTTCAATCTTTTTTTTCCATTTATCATGATGTTGCTTTTTGGTCTAGTTGTGAGGATTTTTGTTTTCTTTATGCTGAGGTGTAATCCACACTAAAAGCTATAGTCTTTGATCTTCATCAGTAAGTGCTTCAAGTCCTCATTTTCATCAATCAAGGTTATGTCATCTGCCTACCACAGGTTGTTGAAAAGTCTTCCTCCAATGCTGATGCTGTGTTCTTCCTCATATAGTCCAATTTCTCAGATATTTGGTCAACATACAGATTGAATAAGCATGAGGAAAGGACACAACTTCAAGGCACACTTTTCCTTATTTTCAACCATGCAATATCCTCGTGTTCTGTTCAAATGACTGTCTCTCACTGTATAGACAGGTCCTGCATGAGTACAATTAAATATTCTATAATTCCCATTCTTGACAGTGTTGGCCATATTTGTTATGATCCACACAGTCAAATGACTTTGCATAGCCAGTGAAACACAGGTAAACGTATTTCTGGTATTCTCTGCTTTCAGCCACAATCTATCTGACATCAGCAATGATATTCCTCATTCCATGTCCTCTTCTGAATCCAGCTTGCATTTCTGGAAGTTCTCTCTCAATGTATTGCTCAACTGTTTTGAATTTTCTTCAGCAAAATTTTACTTGCATGAGATATTGATGATTTTTTTTTTGACAATTTCTGCCCTCTGTTGGATCAACTTTCTTTAATAGTTCACAAATATGGATCTCTTCCAGTCAGGTTGTCAGAGAGCTGTCTTCCAAATTACTTGGCATCATAAGTGAGCACTTCTATCATTGCATCTGTGTGATGAAACATTTCCATTGGTATTCTGCCAATTCCTGGGGCCTTTTTGTCCCCAATCCTTTCAATGTAGATGTGACTTCTTCCTTTAATACCATTGGTTCTTGATCATGTTCCACCTCCTGAAAGTGTTGAACATCCACCAATTCTTTTTGGTACAGTGACTCTGCATATTCTTTCAATCTTCCCTTGATGCTTCCTGCATCTTTCAATATTGTGCCCACACAATCCTTCAATATTGCAACTCAAGCCTTGAATTTGTTCTTCTCATCTTTCAACTTGAAGAATGCCCAGTGTGTTCTTCTCTTTTGGTTTTCTAACTCCATGTCTTCGCCTATTTCATTATAAAAATTTACTTTGTCTTCTCAAGCTGCCCTTTGAAATCTTCTGTTCAGCTTTTACTTCATAACTTCTTCCATTCCCTTTAGCTACTCTACATACAAGAACAAGTTTCACAGTCATTTCTGACATCCATTTTCATCTTTTCTTCCCTTCCCATCTTTTCAATGACCTTTTGCTCTCTTCGTGTATGATATCCATGATGTCATCTCACAACTCATCTGGTCTTCAGTCATTAGTGTTCAATGTATTGAATCTATTCTTCAGATATTTTCCAAATGCAAATAGAATATACTTAAATTTGTGCTTTGACTCTCATGGGCTTGTGTTAATTTCACTCAACTGCAACCTGAATTTGCATATGAGCACTTCTGATGATATTGAGCTTTGCTTTCATCTCTTTCACAGATGTAGTCAATTTGATTCCAGTGTATTCCATGTGATGAAATGCATGTGTATACTCACCATTTATGTTATTGAAAAAAGATATTTGTAATGAATAAGCTATTGATCTTTAAAAATTTTTATTATGCAATCTCTAGTATAGTTTCTATCACCAAAGCCATATTTACCACTACGTCTCTCTTTGTTTCCAGTTTCCACATTCCCATTGCCAATAATTATTAATGCATTTTTATTGCATGTTTTATCAATTTCAGACTGCAGAAGTTGATTTAAAAAATCTTCAATTTCTTCATCTTAGGCATTAGTGGTTGCTTTGTAAATTTGAATAGTAGTCATATTCACTGGTTTTCCTTGTTAATGCATATTATCCTATCACTGACAGCGATACTGTAGGGTAGACCTTGAGATTTTCTTTTTGGCGATGAATGTGATGCCATTCCTCTTCAATATGCAATTCCTGACATAGTAGACTGAATGACTGTCTGATTCAAAATGGCCAATTCCAGTCCATTTCAGTTTAGTAATGCCTAGGATATTAGTTTTTATGTGTTCCATTTCATTTTGACAGCTTCCAATATTTCTAGATTCATATTTCATACATTGCACATTCCAATTATTAATGGATGTATGTATGAATGATTGAAATATTGGTGGCATAGCTTCCAGCATCACAGCAATATGGTGAAACAAACCACTATGGTAAAACAAACTGACAGGTACATAGTGGTCATATGTTGTTATTGTTATGTGCCGTCGAGTCGGACCCGACTCATAGCGACCCCTCCTTGGGTTTCCGAGGCAGTATCACTATGAAAGTAGATTGCCCCATCTTCCTTCCGAAGAGTGGCTGGTGGGTTTGAACCGCCAGCCTTCTGGTTAGCAGTCAATTAGTAGTCATATAGTGATATAAAAACATAGGTGTTAAGTAAACTTGGGATATATATTCATTGGAATTTTCCAGTAATATATTTAAATTAAGCATATAACATAGGAGATTTTAAAAGTATTTCTGTAAGTCACTTTTCCTAGGCTTTATTAGAATAATAGCCCTCTGGATATTACACAGAAAGAGGACAATTCCAGATATTCTCAGGCATGTTCAAGCCAAAAGCAAATATAACCCAGATGTCAACTGGTTCATTTGTATCTCTTGTTGATTTAAATTAATTCCCAGTGTCACGGTCATTAGAAGTCTAGAGTTCCAGTACTATCTGCCTACTCACATTCACACACACACATACACACATATGCACATCACAAAGATGTATCCGTGAGCTTCTTTCTTCCCATTCCTGAATCCACCTGCTTTCTTTTATTCATCACATCAGTTTGTGAAACCCAGCCACTTCAACATTGTATCCAAAACAGCTCTCCCCTCCAGGTTGGTGTGGGGATATTAGCCTGATAACAGATTAGGGTTGTTCATAAAATAATTTTTAAAGTGATTATAATGAATATGAAATATGAGAATGACAACCAGGTGTAAAGTAGCTATACAAAGGTAACACTAGGATAAAGAAACATAAAGGAAGAAAATACTATTCTAATAGCAAAAAAAAAAAAAAAGTAATATGCCTCAAAATAAGCTCCCCAAAAGAGGAAAAGTCTACATGGAGAAACTACAAATAGTTTCTTAGAAATATTTTTTCTTAAAGAAATAAGTAAATTGAAACTTATACTTCATTTCTAGATGTGATAAATGTAAACCTGTCATTTTATACATTTAATTAAAACAGTAAAAGGATAATAACATCAAAATAAGACTAATGTCCAAACCAAACCAAACTCAGTGCCACCCAGTCAATTCTGACTCATAGTGACCTTACAAGACAGGAAATCTTACTGGCAGTAGATTGCCCCATCTTCCTTGCACAGAGCAGCTGGTGGATTTGAACCACCAAGCTTCTGGCTAGCAGTCAAATGCCTTAGGTGCTGTGCCATCAGAGTTCCTTAAACACCAATGTAAGTGTCTAATAGTTTAGAATGAATTAAGTGATTTGACTGCTAACCAGAAGGTTCATGGCTCAAACCCATCAGCCACCCCTCAGAAGGAAGACTGGGCAATCTATGTCTTTAGAGATACCACCA